GTCCAATATTTATCATAAGATTCTCTATTGTTTGGTATGCAAATGATATGAGCAAGGGCATCACTTGTGATAGTGAGGGAATGATTGACATTAACTGTACAGAATTTACCTGAGCTAATGTTGTGAGGGATAGTAGAATCAAGTGTAATGACAACATCTTTAACATCTTTGCTATACAGTTCCAATTGATTGTTACACAGGAGTCCTTCCAGTTGATGGCTAGTATTGACAATAATAATAGTAAAGGAGCTGGATTGAACAAAAGCCACCAAATGTAGCAGAAAGATGATTGTTACCGCAGGAGCCATAACGTCTGATAAGTAATAGTGCATTCAAAAGACAAGTCTATAGTAATATTTGTTTGTGATACAAAAATTGAAAATGCTATGTTTGCCCAAGATAAAAACTGTTATTTTTGCTGCAATGGTTTGATTATAAACAGTAAATGACATTTCATCAAAATCTAGTATCATAATGACCACAAAAGAGTTGTTCATTTTATTACAGTATCTGATGCTGTGCAGAAAATATTCAGAGGAATAAAATTTTTAATTAATCATTTGTTACAGTAAATTTTCAAATAGACTATTTAGGCTTGTGTTTAAAGATGGTTTGATATATGTCCTTGCACTGCATAGAATTTTAGTTTATTCCAACTAAACTTTTTTCTGCAAAAATTGAAAAAAATCAAATTTTGTACAGGCTGCAATTAACTACATGTATTACGGTCACCTTATAAAAATTAAAATTACAATAAAAACACAATTTTAAACTTAATTCATGTATTATATTAATGATATTCAGTAATAGCTTGGATATGCAATTATGACTAAATTTAGCATTTTTGGCAAAACTATAATTCATATCGTCACAAATTAGTGCATTACTTAATATAGCTAGTAAATATACCTGGTATGATGGTCTTTAGTGTCTGAAATCCTAAAGCTTTAAGTAACCAAACAACTTCAAAATACTGCATACCAACATGCTTCATATCCTAATAATAAAAACAGCATAATGAAAGAGGGAGAGGAGAAAGAAAGCAAGAGAGAGAGGGAGGAATGAGAGAGAGAGGGAAATGAGAGAGAGAAAGAGTTAGAACCTGTGATTGTCCTGCCACAATATCTCCATTTTCTTTATTGCTTCAAAAGGATCATACAGCGGCCATTTCTCCTATGAAGTACAAAAATAGCTTGAAATCAAAAGCCAAAATATGCAGTGTCAAAACTGTGAAAATAAACCCCTTTAATCAATTTTATTACTAGGATTTTTGCACTTAGATCTACAAGGTATCAACAGGTATACAACACCAATATGAGAGTTAGAGAAGTATAGATCCTGTTCCTTTCCAACTCATTCAATTAAATCAAAATTATTTCTATCATCAGAGCAACCTGTTAATCAGATACATGTACAATTTAGCAAAAAACATCTCTAGTAGCTAGATTGTCAATTTAAAGCACCAAATCATATCATTCTGTATAAAACTAACTTGAATTGATAAGACAAGCCAATCAGCCACACCCTTTTCTGCAGCATGCAGCAACGTGGCCGATGGTATGACTCCATACCGCTCCATACCCTTCTCTTATATTTCCGAGTAGGAGTCTTCCCTGTGGTAGTGAAGAAAGGACTTCATCAGTTAGGAGGACTGATAGAGTGTCCAGCTGGACACTGGTTGTGCTGACACAGTAAACTGACTGCATTTGTTGATAGCGGGAAAGGATCATTGAGAACGCAACACCTCTTATATTTACAGAGACAGGCTACCATTACCACTCACAGCTACAGCAGGTATTAATATAAATTTACTAGTTATTTGTTTGGGTTTAAATTTAAAACTTTTATTAATTATAACGACTAGCAGCCATTTTGAAAAATTAATTAATTAACAATAATTATCATGATAATTCTAATTTTAATTCCAGCTCTATTTGGTTGAGTAAAGCCGTTACTTCAAATTACAATGCTAACTCGTTCCACGAGAGTTTTCTTCTTGGCATAACGTCTCACCGTGACCTCCACCTGTTCAAAGTTCAGCATCAAGCAACATTCCAAGTTGAAGGACAAGAAGAGGAGAAGGAGGAGGAGAAGGAAGACAGTCAAAGAACTGGTTCTGTTGTTTTACTTGTCACTAAGTGTATTATGAGTAAGAGACAGAATAGCGTCAATACTGTCTAAGGCGCAACTTGGTAAGTTATTAAAGTTGCTCCAAATTGGGCCAATTTGGCCAAATTTTGCCAAAAATGAAAAGCAGAGGATTCTGCATTTATATAATTTTTGATGCATATACTTTTGTACATGTTCTTATATGTATGTTGTGTATAAAGTTTGAGGTGATTCCAGTTAAATTTATGATTTGTAAAGTTACTCTAAAATTGTGCCAAAGTGTCTGTGCTTTATTTAGTACAGGGATTTTAGCTAAATTTCACAAAAATAGAAAAGAGATAATTTGCATATTATAATTTTTCTCTGCTGCATATAGATGTTCTTATGTTGTGTAGAAGTTTGAGCTGATTTCAATCAAAATTGGATTTTTAAAGAATTTTTAAAGTTGTTCTCCAAAAGTCAATATCAGTAATCAAAGATTCATATCTACTCTTGTTAATAGTTATAACTAATAATTCTTCTCTCCTCCCCCTCTCATTAGACTCCAGTCTCAATACATTAACAGTACTCGATTCTCATCAATGTGCCGTCATTCTGCTTGTTATAATAATAATGACGGTTCTTACTCTTCATTCTTCTTCTTCCCAGCAACAGTCACTGGCTCTCTCTTCAGTCTTTAGTATTGAACCAAACATGGAGTTCTTCAAATATGATGACACTATTCTAAAATATGTTGGGAAGTTGAGCGACATCCTTTTTAAATGGCTGCTGCTGTTTACTTTCACTGAGGAGGGGATTATGTATCCTAATTAATGCCCCATGCACATTCCTGTAGCCCATGGTTTTTTTTCCAAAGAATGTGAAAAAATTACCCCCAATTTTTATTACATTTTCTGATGCATATTGACGTCCTTACGCTGTGTAGAAAGTTTGAGATGATTCCAACTTAAATTTTGTAAGTCACAGCCATTTTAAGAAATAGGCCAAAATCTGAAAATATCCAAGGCTATAGCCCATGCTTTTTCCCCAAAAATGGCTAAAAAATCATCCCCAATTTTTATTACATATTCTGATACATATTGATGTACTTATGCTGTGTAGAAAGTTTGAGCTGATTCCGACTTAAATATTTTAAATTACGGCCATTTTAAAAAATTAACAAAAATCTGAAAAGTACCCAAGGCTATAGCCCATGGTTTTTCCCCAAAAATGGCTAAAAAATCATCCCCAATTTTTATTACATTTTCTGATACATATTGATGTACTTATGCTGTGTAGAAAGTTTGAGTTGATTCCGACTTAAATTTTTCAATTTACGGCCATTAAGAAATGACCAAAATCTGAAAAATGCCCATATACATGTACATACACAGTGTACTGTATAACATGATAATTTCTCTTTCCTCTCTTTTCTTATTATTTTCTCTCCTTAAGCTACATGAGCTTGTACATGTACATTAATAATTAATAATGTGCAATTATAATCCTTAACTTACATTATTATGCCTAGAGGAGTGTGGATTGGTAAAGGGGTGGGCAAAGACTGGGAGGAGTCTAGTAATATTTGTACATGCATTACTACTATGGAAAAACTGAACCGTTGAATATAAAGCAGAATGATATGACCTCAAGCTACACCCACTCTGGCACTAGCTACCCTATACAGTGTATACTCCCTCCAACTGAAGGTCATGTGATCAGTGACTCCGCCCTATTATACCCCCACTATAATAACGGATTGGTAATAGCGTATTATGATAGGAATGGGAATGGAAAAACAACGAATTAAGAACAGGGATCAAAAGCTACCAATTTAATCATTATTGATAAGGTTTCTGAGTGATACTTTCCATTAGCTGAGTAAGTCATTAATTATTATTATTATTATTAATTGATGGGTGTGGTCTTAAAACGTCGTTTTTTTAGTTTGTCATGTCGAAACTGGTTGATCCTGCCCGTTAATGAGGACAAACCGGTTTGTCTGGTTCCTAATAGTTCACTCTCAGAGTATCAATTTTCCTTCTATAAAAAATATCACAGGAGAATTTTGTAGCAAAAGTAATTCTGAAATTATTAATTAATTAATTTATTATTATTATTATTATTATTATTATTATTATTATTAGGTGTTAATGTATGGTAGTGCGTCAGTAGCTGAGGAGGTGTGTCACTTGAACCCCAGGGACCAATTTCCCTCCCTCTCAATGCACTGGAGACTGGACGGGAACTGAGGCAGTTGGACATAGTGTCATTCTTCCTTAGGAACTGAGGTATATGATATACTATTTATAGTAACAATGATACTAGTAACACTGATACCATTTATAGCAACAGTAATACTGTTACTATTTATAATAGTGATAAATGATACTATTTATAGTAACATATACCGTAAATATTCAAATAAAACCAAGGGTGTTTATTTTATTGCAGGACAAAAAAATTCATAAAATAAAAAATAAAATAAAACCTGGTGTCAAACTTGCGGTTCTAGGATCAGTGTCGGGACACTCTAAACTGGGTAGTACCTGCATGTATATGAGTAAAATAAGCATATCTGTACTTGGAGATTATTAGTACCAGGGATTTATTCAAGCCTGGCTTTTATTTGAACATTTATGGTACTACTTATAGTAGTGATAAATGGTGCTATTTATGCTAACACTGATACTGTTACTATGTATAATAAGAACTAAGAACTGCTATTGTAGTAATAATTGGTACTGTTCATAGTAGTAGTATTGATAATAAAATTATAGTAACAACGCTACATGTATTATGATAATTTATAGTAGCAAATACTACATGTAGTATGTACATCTACTTATGCAGGCAGGCAGACAGACACACTTCTTGCTTTTTGTCTTAGTAGGCTTGCTTTAGCTTGCACACTTAATGTAGTTATCTTTAAATCACAGAATAAGAAATAAAACAGTTAAACATTTTAACTAGTCAATCAACTATTTTGATGGACAATATTTATTTTTAATGTAACTAGCAATAGATTTCTCTTCTATTGTATCTAGTGCTGTAGCTAATGATGACCAACTGGGACCTCCTTTCTCTCTCACTCCATCTTCTCCTCTTAACCAGGCAGACATACACTCACGGAAACACTCCACTGTCTTTCCCCTATAGTCAGCTTCTATAGCCTTTAGTCTAGGATCATATAATCCTAAATGTAGTCCAAACTGAAACCATTTAGTACAATCCATTTGATTGAATGTTGTTAGCTCTTCGATGATAGTAACAAGATCTGTAAAATCTATTGAAATAATAGTTAATAATGTACACACTATACAATCTACACTCCCACTACTTGACAATTGTGATAGTGCATATTATAACATACCTAGCTTTATTGGGGACCTCAGTGGTGTCTTGAATTCTTCAATCACTTCCTATACAATAGTAATAAGTGACATTTGTCACTGTGTTTGTTTAACAAGGTGATATACATCAGTAGTGTATTGCTGAAAGGTGAGTTTAACAGATGTACAAGTATATATTGTTAGTAGTAAAAGCCACACTATGACAATGAACAGTTATGACAAAGACTGAGTAATTTGATAAGAAATAAAATTACTTCTAAGATATGACCTTTTGATTAATAGTGATTGTATTAATGTATCAAACAGTTTGTGTGTGTTAATTCTTACCTCAATATCACGTCCTCCTAATAGTGACAGGCTACTAATATCTGATAATGATTCATCTGGTAGAATCTCCTTCAATTCTGTACATCTAGTACCAGTAGCATTTACTAAAAACTCTTCTCTCTTGACAATAGCAGACATCACAGATATTACACAATACACTGTCCTTTCTTTTGGTGCTTTTACAGGATAGGCTAGTTCCTTAGGATCAATAACTAACTCTTTTGCCTCTAGACTGGGACAGGATTCTTTGTAAACACTCATTACCTCTCCTATCACATCTCTTCTTAGAGACACCATATTGTCACTGCTACAACCTTTCTTACAGGACATCATTACTAGTACACACTGGCTCTCATCCACAATCTCTACCAGTGATCCTACACCATGACCATTAAACCAGTAAAGTCCATTCTTCCAAAATGTACAACGTCGCATTAACTGGTTGTCTTTTTGAGGTTGAATCAATTTGTAAGCAAGACGTAAAGAGAAGACATGGAAGTATCGAGGAGGAAAGAAATGATGTTTACTAGTACACTGTAGACACCAACCAAACTGGTACACTTGACTAGTCATTTCATCAGGTCTATCAGCAGACAATAGACATGGGAAGTGCAACAACCTTTCTCCTCTTCTTTCTGTCCCTCCCTCCTCCTCCTCTTCCACTGCTAACTGATGGAGGTTTGTTATTCTTAGGAAAGATGGACTAATTTCTTCACAGAGCTCCATGTTCTTTAGAAAACGAATCAACATGTCAGGATCATATTTAGGGAAGATTCTAGTCAGGCCAGACACTCTAACAATACCAGTATTGCTAGCAATGTCAACGTGTTCTTTGAATGTCTCTGGAGCAAAGAGAATCCCGTCCACTTCAGTTAGTAGTATACCTTTATTAACAACAACCCATACCTTGTCTTCACTTTTAAGAACACTGATCAAGCCAGTTGAGTGCAATGAATGAAGAACATCCAAGACATCTTCTTTCTTACCTGGTATAAAGTAACCATCATTGTCCTTACCAGTAGACATTACATCAGAGAGGGTCAGTATATTCTCTTTCCTTTCCTCCAGTAGACCATACATCATGTGACAATAAAGACTCAAATTCCTTCCACTTGTACTACGAATGGACGCACAGGCACTAGACAGCTTATTAAAGAAGGAATCCACACCACTCCCACCAAGCTTACGACAATCTAAGAAGACGCTATCACACTTTTCCCTTACAATAATCTCCTGTATTTCTTCCTTTTTCCTCCTTTCAACAGTACTCATCTTATCCACATGACTTACTATTACAATAACATGGCATTGATTAAGAGCTTTGTGTGCTTCATTTCTGACAACTGTTAGCCACTGATGAAGCTGTTTGACTGGTTCCTTCTCCAATATATTGACTACTATCAGGAACACACCACCAGAACCTTGTAAGAGATTCTCAATGACAGCACTGTGACTGGAGTAGTATTCCGAATGACCAGCAAAATCATGAAGAATGATGTTACCCAGTGTCCTGTGTCTTAGTTTATAAGGAATGATACCAGCAGTACAGGGCACTACCCCTCCAACATTTCTAAATGAACCAAGAACAAAAGGGCCAGTAGCTGTGTCATTGATGACATGACTGAGAGTACTTTTACCAGCTCCAGGATTACCCACAAGAAGAACATTAACATAAGAATCAATTGGATGAGATAATTTTATATCATTAGCAAACTTCTTAAAGACAGAGAGAGTATTAGCTTTTTTCCCCTCCTTAGCTAATTTAAATGGTGTACTCCCCTCATAGTCTTTAGCCAATGGATTACATTTACCAGTTGATAGTAAGTATTCAACAGCTGCAGGAGCATACCAACTTGCAGCAGCAAAATGAAGAGGTGTCCACCCGCTCCTGTCAACAGTCATTGGATCATGGTTCCACTCATTGATTAGATATTTAATTACATCAGGTGAGTTCCTAATAGCTGCTGCATGAAGAACAGTCCCACCATTCATGTTAGTAGCCATTGGATCACAATGACACTCATTAATGAGATACTTTACGCTATCAATGTGTCTAGCAGCACGGTGAAGAACAGTCTCACCATCTTTGGTAGTAGCCATTGGATCACATTGACACTCATTAATGAGATACTTTACAATATCAATGTGTCCAGCAGCATGGTGAAGAACAGTCTCACCATCTTCGGTAGTAGCCATTGGATCACAGTGACACTCATTAATGAGATATCTCATCACATTGACATGATTATATCGTGCAGCCCAATGAAGACAAGTCTGACCATTACTATCTCTTTCGTGTGGGTCACAGTGATATTTAGTGATGAGATCTTTTGTAACATCTAACCAGCCATTCTTTGAAGACAAATTAAGTAGACTAACATCATCCCATATACTATAGTTTCTTTTAATTTTATTTAGTTCCTTCACTAATGGTAGTAAGCAAACAGCTTCTCTATGATCTCTTTTCTTAAACGCATCCCAACACTTGTCCTCTAATGACATCTTGTGATTAATTAATTAGATTCATTGTTACCAGCCCACACACAGTGTCTCATGGTATGCACTATACACACATTATGAATATCATTAACTGAGCTATGAGAAAGAGAGAAAATGATAAATAATTAAACACTACATGTACATACACTGAATACCGTATAGCTCCAAATTGTTTTCAGTCAAAAATTTTGTCAAAATCTTAATTTCTTGTTACAATTAATTTTTGTTGATAAAATTTTGTCATATTTGTTATAAGTTGTGTACTAACCGCATGGAGCAAAAATTCTTGATGAATTTGATGAAATTTTTGACTAAAGAAAATTTGGAGCTATAGGGTAGTATTGCTGTTGAGTGTGTTCAGAAATTATTTTTACGCTGAAGCAGTTCCGTTTTTATGCTTTTGCCAAGAATTAGCTATGAATCATCTCCTTAATGATTTTTGACATCAGGCATATTTGTATTTGAATTTATAATACAATACAAAAACCACCAATACATTGCAATCATAGAATCACCAATTTAACTCCAACAAATATTCTCACTATATGGTATATCCACTAGTGTATAGTGTCATAATTCATAGTTCATACTAAGTCTATACCAATAACAACATAGCTTGAAACTAACAGCAACTATTCAAATAACAATGTTACTAATAATAAACATAGTTTGATACTATAGTTATAATTCTAATTATAGAGACGAGGAAATTAGTACATGAGGACAGCTCAGCTTTTAAAACTCAACTAATTAATAAATTAATCTGCAAGTATCAGCAAGAATAATAATGAAATAGAAGAAATTGAAATACTATAGACAATCATCCACTAATAATTGACAATATTTATTTTTAATGTAACTAGCAATAGATTTCTCTTCTATTGTATCCAGTGCTGTAGCTAATGATGACCAACTGGGACCTCCTTTCTCTCTCACTTTATCTTCTCCTCTTAACCAGGCAGACATACACTCACAGAAACACTCCACTGTCTTTCCTCTATAGTCAGTTTCTATAGCCTTTAGTCTAGGATCATACAATCCTAAATGAAGTCCAAACTGAAACCATTTAGTACAATCCATTTGATTGAGTATTGTTAGCTCTTCAATGATAGTAACAAGATATGTGATATCTAATAAAATGATAATTAATAATGTGTATATACACTGTACAGTCTACACTCCCACTACTTGGCAATTGTCATAAACATACCTAGATGTAGCTTTACTGCAGCTAATGTTGTGTTGAATTTTTCAGTTACTTGAATCACTTCCTATACAATAATAGTAATAATAACTGATATTTGTCAGTGTGTTTGTTTATCAAGGTGATATGTAGTCATTGTAGTGTTTTCTGAAAGGTGAGTTTAAAGCCCAACATCCACTAGGCAACTTTGTTACAATTAACAGCAATTTTGTTGCCTGAAATAGAACAGTGTTCTATTTCAGGTAACAAAGTTGACAGACATCAAAGTAACCACAAAGTTGCTTCAACAAAGTTAAATAGTGGATGGTGGGCTTTACAGATGTACAAATATGATACTATTAGTAGTAAAAGCCACACAACGACAACCCACAATTA